TCTGTTGTTAGTTAAAATTATAATTATTATGGCTGGTTCAATCCTTAGTGATCAACGGCAAGTACCTTCACGATATTTGAAATTAATTTCATATTACCTTTGACCAAATTGTCATTTAATCAGTGAATGGATACTGTAAAACCTCCAATCGGCTAAATTAAGGTATGAAACTATACTTACTTAGGAGTGACGAGTGAGAGTCAGTCTTGCACGACTGATATCTATCTAATGTTACAGATCCAAAATAAATAAATATTTTAGCATTCAGTAGCTCTATTCGTTGCTGACTTGATATATCCATCTGGGCTGACGCTCTTAAAATTCAAATATTATGGAAATTAGTTGGACCAGGTTACTGTGCCTGAGTGCCTTAAGGGTATATAGTTTTATCCGCACAGTATTAGCGAAAGCAGTGCCCATCATTTCTGGAACTCTTTCTCTCAGTTTTTATAAACAAACTGAAGCCATCAACATTGAACCCTAAAACAAAATAATAAGAGTTAGAGAGCAATATGTACAAATATATATATAATATGTCTATTTACTTACTTTTCTGCTGGTAATTTTCTTGAACTCTCTGTTATGCTTTCATACTTTAGTATGTTCTATATCAAAATAAATTGCATAATTACATTAAAAATGAGACTTCCAATCTAAGATCTAACCTAGTGGTGAATGGCATTGTGCCATAAGGCAAATTGTTGGAACTTCCCGTACCGTAATGAAACATTCCAGAAATATTTATGTTTAATTTGTTTTCAAATAGATTATTATAAATTCTGTGACATATATGTTTACAGAAAACTAAATAAACAATCAATTCGAATCAATCGAAATTAAAATGAAGTTCTGTCTAATATTTATAAAAATCATATCAACTGAATTGCAAAGTTAAAATAATTTATTTTAAGTATATTAGTGAGTCTTACAACTTCAGCTAGAAAAAAATTCAATTCCAATTTATTTTCGATATTCAAAAAAAAATATTTGGGAAATTAAAAAAAAAAGGTTCCAAAAGCAATCGTTTCGTCAACACAAGCAGAAATTTTTTTGAATCATTCCAATCGGATTCATTCATTCTATCATTCTCCAAAAAACTGCCATTTTTTGCACATTTAGGTCGGTATCTCCGAAACGGCTGGACCTGTCTTTGCCAAAAACTAATCACCACTTCTCCCCGTCATTACGAATTGAATGTTTTTTGGATTATTAAAAAAATCCGACGCTCCGTTATTTCAAGAACTGAAATATCATTTTTGGCACTTTTTATTCCGTATCTCCAAAACGGCTAGACTTGCTTTGCCAAAAACTAATCAGCAAGTTTTTTTTAGGAATCGAATGTTATTTGAATTATTCAAATCGGTTGATCTATGTTCGCAAAATCGTCGACGAAAATTTGTATCCGCACACACATGCACACATACATCCATTTTTTGTAAGGTATGCCAAAATGTTCAGAAACCTCTGAAGATATATGCAAATTTTCATTTTCATTTTCGATTTTTTTGCGATTACTAGAACTTACCCTTTGGGAAGTTAATAATAAAAATTAAAAAAATCAATATTCTTATTTGTAGAGAAATCAAATACATATGAATATTCATAATCATATATTTAAAATAAATAATCTAGACAAAACATGTATCATCATTCAAACAGCATTATTATACAAGAGTTTGTTGATTAGGAACACACATATCTAGAACTAGTATTCATTTGCTCTGAAAATATATAATAAAATTATTTTAAAATACAGATTCCATGCTCGCTAGTTTTTAAGCTCTACTACCTTTTAGTAAAATATATGAATTTATCATTGTATATTTATATTTACAGTAATTAGAATTGCAGTTTATTATTATATACATTTTTATACACAATATGTATTGCATAGAACTTAATTGTAAATATTACCGACAGTCAATTCGGTAATAAATCTTCTGAACTGAATTAAACAAGTGTCTATGAAAAATACAAAATAATTAGATTAATTAATTTTTGTCATATTATAGTGATCGTATATAGTATACAAATAGTACATATATTCAAATTACATATTCTATTGATTCAGGATGAATTTATTGCAATTATTGTTTTTTATTTATAACATGCTTGAATTACTCTTCACCATTGGTCTTATATTTATATGCGAAAGAAAATCTGAGGTTTCCAAGATATATTAGGAACAAACAAATTCTTCGACTACTGTCTTATCCTATCATAAATTGGCAGTTGCTTACAGTTACCAGCTATCTAATTGTAAGATATTAGTACATCTTTGAAAATATATTATCAACTTTTTCCAATATAAAGCCCGGTGCACACGACGCCAGTATTTCTTGTAACAGTTTTCTGGTAAGGTGAGCAAGAATTTTGCGTCAGATTTTCACTTATTTTATGATTAATAATAATTTTGTGCATTTTCAAATAGTTTGTTATAAATATAGGCCTAAAATGCACTAAAACTAAGTGTATAAACAGAGCATTGTATGAAATGTAAACAATAAACATATATGTATTGTATCCGATTAGGATGAATCCACGGGATGATTTAGTCTCATATTTCTAAAAAAGAAATGAAATAATAATAATAAAAAGATATTGAAATGCTGCACCTTAACATAACAATTAAGTATTTTTAAAATCAGTATCTTTATCGGATAATTAACATTGTTATGAAAATATTTAAAAAGTTGTGAAAAGTTAGGTAAAAGTTATTATTATTTTATTTAATTTTTAGAAAAATATGAGATTAATTCATCTTGTGGATTCATCCTAATCGGATACGATACATACGTATATGTTTATTGTTTACATTTCATACAACGCTCTATTTGTACACTTATAAATTTTAGTGCATTTTATGCCTATATTTATAATAATCTATTTAAAAATGCACAGAATTATTATTAATCATAAAAGAAGTGAAAATCTGACGCAAGATTCTTGCTCACCTTACCAGAAAACTAGACAGATATCCTGTTACAAGAAATACTGGCGTCGCGTGCACTGGGCTTTTATTATTTATCTGTCGAATATCAAAAAGCTAACAATCACTTTTGATTTCCTAATTTGCTTTACAGATTTTTCGAAGTCAATTCGTGCATAGAAATGAATATAAAAAAGTTAAGATATCAAAAAATAAATTTCTTAGTACTGAATAATTTATAATACAGCTAGCTCATATATTTACAATTTATATAAATCCTAATATTTGAAACATAAATTTAGAATATACAACTCGCCATTAGGTTCACCTTGGAATATGCAAATAATTATATATTTTGCTGAAACAAATCAATTTAACTTTATTTCTTGTATTCAAGCAAAACTATTGCCAAATTTATTATTAATTTCAAGCATCTCAATAATAAAATTATAAGAGCTTTCCATTTCTGATATGTAGCATTTCTGTAATCAACGTAGTCAAAAAAGCTTTTCATTTGTATAAAAATATTAATTTTACAAAACTAATAACAACATACATCAAGGATAAACAATAGTATTTAATAAGCCTTTTACCCATATTTAAATACTTATATACAGGGCACTCCAGAACTCAACAGGGTAATAGTATTGACCGTAACTGTCCTGAGCAAAATTAGAAAAAACTAGTGGTGTATGGCATTGTGTCTTAAGGCAATTGTGTCTTAAGGCAATTTGTTGGAACTTCCCGTACTGTTATGAAATATTTGAAAAATAGTAAATATTTTTAAATAGATTATTATATATACTGTAACTTATATATGTTTACAGAATATTAAATAAATAAAACTTAATCAATCGGATTGAAAATGAAGGATATTGTCTGATATAAGAATTATATAAACTGAATTGCAAAGTTAAAATTATTTATTTGAAGTATATAAGAGAGCTTTAGAACTTTAGATAGAATTAAAATTAAAATCCGAATTATTTTCGCTATTAAAAAAAATTAGAATTTTGAAAAAATGAAAAAAAAAATCTTTTCCCAAAAGCAATTGCTTTGTCATCACAAGCAGAAAGTTATTTTAATCATTCAAATCGGATGCTCAGTTCTCCCGAAAACTTCCATTTTTTATATATTTAGCTCTGTATCTCCGAAATAACTGGACTTGCCTCTGCCAAGAACTAATCACCAATTCTCCCCATCATTACGAATTGAATGTTTTTTGGATCATTCAAATCCGATTATACGTCCTCTCAAAAAATCGATTTTGCTATCTCAGAAACGACTAGACCTGCCTTTGCCAAAAACTAACCAGCACATCTCCCTATCAACAAGAGTCGAATGTTTTCTGAACCATTTAAATCGGTTGATCCGTGACGTTGACGTTGAGTTCTGGGGCACCTTGTATATAGCAGCATTTTAAACTTGCATTGAGAAACTGCAAAAAATTTACTTGAATAAATTACAACAATGAACTTTAACGCAAATAATTAACAATGATTTACCAAAATTATGGGCCGATTCTGCCGCATAACAGACCAATGATATGGCAAGGCGATGTTATGAAGAAATTTCCATACTAAATATTGACAAAAACCATGTGGTTGTTGTGCAGTCAGGCGTCTTTTTCAGGATGTCAGATAGAAAACTTACTCTAGATACCGCACAAATGTCAAAAAAATGATGTTAGATAACAGGGTCTTTCTGAACCAGCTTCATAACATACGAGTGACGTTGCAGTTTATGTGTAAAATGCCTGAATGCACAGCAAACACACGCCATTTTGACAGTATTCAGTATGATTTAGTAGCATAACGTATGGAAGTTTGAGCGTAACATGGCCTTGCCATAACATTGGATTGTTGTGAGGCAGAATCGGTCCCTTAATTTCTATAACAAAAACAAACCCAAACAAAAGATCCTACTGAATGTAGTATGACTACTATACAGTTCGACGACATCAATGAATTTCTAACTCAATATAAACAAACTGAATCGTAAAATACCCAACAATTTCTCATATATTTGATTCTGCATAAATATTAAATATGGGTAGAGTAACAGTTTGACTTCAATGTGAACAACTATTTTTGGAGGCAAACTCGTGCAAAATATCACAAGCCATTTCAATGTTATTCCTTGATATACCTAAAGCCCTAATAACGTTTTCTTTCGAATAACCTTCGGAAACTAATTTTGCTATGTATTCTAAATTAATATTTTCATATGGCACATTCATCATGTCCTCATCTTTACTACAACTGGCCATGCATAATGGATTTTGTTTAAATTTTAATTGCACATTAACGTTCTCGTACGCTAATTTTTCTGATACAGTTTGAGATTTTGAAGGTGTATTTGAAGTTGCCTGAGTTAAGACTGCCACCATGGGTAAGGACTGGTGTCTGATGTGAGAATTTGAAGAACTGGTTTTTATGTGGTACAAATTTGTGGTTTGTGAGTTGTTTGCACTTTGTTGACCATTGGTTTCTTCAGATTTACCATTAAATAATTTTATTTGATTAGGAGTTCGCGTGTCTATAAGCCCTATAATAGTTTCAGCAGGTCCAACAATAACTTCGTTTGATGATGATATAAAACATTTCTCTATTTTACTCTCCGTTACAGGAACAGGTGGAGCAATAGTTTTGGGGACATCAAAAGAGAACAATTTCACATTGGATTTGATATCTTGTTCAGAATCCAAAGACGCTTGTTTAGTCTTCGTCAAAGGATCAAGATTCGATAAATTTTCTGAACTTTTACTGCCCGTCAATGTTTTAGGCGGCAACTGCAGCATATTCTGTACAGCAGATTGACCTGCATCATTCAAATTCGTTAAACTAGACGTAATATTCGATTTGTTCGAATTTTTCAGTTCTTTCACTGCAGGAAGAGAAATTTCAGCTGCACTTTTCCGTGGCGGCAGAGGAGGCGCTGTAGGATCCTGCCTCACAACATTATCCTGAACTGCCGAATGTTGACAAACTTGTCTCAAATTTTTACTTGAAATTTCTTGATTCCCCATTTTCTTCGAGCTCGCTATTCGAGGCATATTGTAACCGTTATATACAACTCCCTCGGGCTCTTGGGTCAAAACTTCTTCAGGATACAAAAATATATCTGCATTTTGGCGCGAATTGGAAACGGAGTTGCTACTAGTTGCTGATGACGATGTCGAATCCTGTGATGATATTTCAGAGTTTGAGGTACTTGTTACTGAGGAAGAAACTTGTGAATGGTTTTGGACGATTGTGGAACTGCTGGGTGTTAAAGACCTTCGGCTAGGTCTTGGTGACATTGGTGGACTACGGGAGAGCTTCAGTTTACCACTGAGGGCGTGCAGAGTGCTTGTAGAGAAGTTGAAGTCTCCGGAATCCTTGAGAAAAAAATAGAATTATTTCGGTATATTCATTAGGAACAAATCTACATCTAGAATATACTACTTTATAATCAATCATGTAAGTTGCCCTTCACAAAGCAATTTATGATCAACCATGAGACCACAATGAAATGCAATTGGTCGGTTGGATTTTGCCAATTGTCAGATAGTTTATCAAACCTGTTTTTGGTTGAAAATAATTTATTCAACAGCGCAATAAAACATGCTTGAATAAAATATAAAATACATGTTTCATGGTTCTTTATAAAGAAAGACAAATTGATCAAAATAATGGACCAACTTAATAAAAACTTGTCGAACAATTTCGCTGGTGAAAATAAAACTATTAAAAGAGAATTCGGAGTGAGAAAAACAATTTACTTGCTTCGTCTGTTGTTCATCTTATTGTTGATAATTTAAAATTTTGAGAGAAAATGTATCAGTTTTAGTATTTGTAGTCATAGTTTATGGTTTGTAAAACAATATACCCAATTTACAAATCTGTTATCTGTTATCTGTTAAAAGAGCTTTGATTTTCTCTACCTGTTGTAAAATAGTAGGTTTATATTTTCAAGGAATTTTACTATATCAATATTAAATAAAATTTGAGCATAAAAAACGAGTTTGATCATTCGTTAACAAAAATTGTGAATTGTTTTATCAACTAAAAGATTAGAAGCTGCGTTTCGTATTTGAATATTTTAAGACAAAAACTTCAGTCTTCCAATAAAGAAAAGAAGAAAATATACTAGGGCCGTTTTTTCAAGAATTCATAGACATATAATCATGAACATACAAGATACATGTAATGATATTTCTTTAATCTTCATTTTACAGAGATAACTTGCATTTTCTCTGTAATTTAAAAAAATGTAAATAATTCTGTTCAAAGTAGTATATGTTATAGAAAAAAATACAAAATATTCAAAATATCATTACAACATCAGCATGCAATTGCAGTGTTTAAGGATGAACCAAAAATCTATATAAAACAGGCAGAAGACAACAATAATGATTTTTATGTAGAAATCATCTGATAAAAATATATGCAATACAAATATCTAAAGGATATTATGTTATTAAAAAATAAAATTTTTAATCTGCTCGGAGCAAAAAATAAACAGTTGCCTATTGAGTGAATATAAAATGTCAAGCAAAATAAGTCAACTTTTATGGAATTGACGATATTATTATTCCGTGAAAAACAAAAATAGTTGGTTACTTTATCGTAAACTTAGTAATTTCTTCACGATAAATAACTTTATATTTGCACTTCCTTGTACTTATTTTCCTAAAGGTGGTTTTCAAGATCATTAAATCGTTATTATGTTCTACTATAATTACTAATGAGTAAGTTCCTTCATTGCAGATTTAGATAAGATTTCGTGTCTTGGCAGAAAAAATCAAGAGAGAAAAACCTATAAAAATATCTGCAATATGTATATGATTCACATACAAACTTGAATAAGTAAACTTCCGCGCCACTTCCACTCAATAGGCATTGTTGTCAGATTTCTCCAACAAGGAGAACATCAGATTTACTCATCTTGGATTTTGATGAAATTTTCCACGATGATAAGTTTGTTTGGACCATCAACTCTAGACACCATGTATGGTTTCATCGAAATCCCAGACAACTAAATCCGAGGTTCTCCTGGTTAGTATAAAATGGAGAACATCAGACTTACTCACATTGGATTCTGATAAAACTTACCATGATGCTGGGTTTGCTTGGACCATCAACCTTATTGCCATGTTTCATCAAAATCCCGAATGACTTAAAGAGTTGATGTTCCAAACAAACCAATCATCATGATAAGTTTCATCAAGATCCAAGGAGAGTAAATCTAATGGTCTCCTTGTAAGTCACTTTATGATATCATGAATGGTGAAACTGTGCATGGTGATAGAATATCGATGGTCCAAACAAACCCATAATCATGGTAAGTTTACCAAATGACTAAACCAGAGGTTCTCCTTGTTAGTACAGAATGAAGCTGATGATCATTTGATGTCATCAATTGGGTTACAAGGAGAACATCAGATTTACACATCTTGGATTTTGATAAAACTTACCATGATATGACATACCATATTTGGACTATAAACTCTATCACCATGCATAGTTTCATCAAAATCCCAGGCGACTAAACCTGAGATTCTCCTTCTTAGTACAAAATGAAGCTAATGATCATTTGGCATCATCAAGTGCCTTACAAGGAGAACATCAGATTTATTCATCTTGGATTCTGATTTAACTCACCATCATGAAGGGTTTGTTTGGACCATTAACTCTATCATCATGCATGGTTTCATCGAAATTTCAGACGACTAAACCTGAGGTTCTCCTTGTTAGTGCTGAAGCTGATGATCAATTGATAACATCAAAAGGCTTACAAGGAGAACACCAGATTTACTCATCTTAGATTTTGATGAAACTTACCATGATGATAAGTTTGTTTGGACTAAACCTGAAGTTCCCTTGCTAGTACAAAATGAAGTTGAAGATCATCAAAGATTTTACAATTTTGTTAACCATCTAATGATTTCCACATTTTAAAAATAAATGTAACATTTATATATTATTATTAGTAGATATATAACTTAGTTTTCGGTCTATTGAAAAAACGGCCCTTTCAAATAATGATATACAGAAAATAAAACGAAAACTTACCAAAGCCTACGAAATCATTTTCTACGATTTGTTGCACTATCAAGACAGAACAAAACACTAGAAAGCTGCACTTGAATAAAATGAATTTGGTGCCACTGCTTATTAAAATTATTATAAAACCATTCAGGGTTAGTGATTGATCAGGTATGGTAAATTGCCATTTTGAACTATTAAAAAAATAACTCAATAATAATGCAGAAGTACTTTAAAACAAAATGAGTAGACAGAAGTCGAATTACAGTTCTAGTTCAAAATGGAGTTTACACACAACTGAGCAAATGTTAGAGAATAATTTGCTTCAAAATAAATCAAACTTTGTAATAAGAAATTACTAAAGAAAATGCATTATACTTTAAATGTTTCATACACAATTTAAATCATAAGTGTGAGCAAATTATTCTTTGCCAATGAACATGATATTTATGTACTAAGCGTAACAAAAACTCAACTTTTTGTCAAAACATGCAAATCGGCAATCTATAAAATTTCGAAAATAAATTTCAATTTGTAATTTATCGTATAATAGTTTATTGTTTTCCTGTTCTCAATTTATTAACTACAACAATATAAATAATTTTTAAATTACTCAATGGATATTGCAATTATTCGTAATTTTACGCATTTCTGGTATTAACCTTATATACGAAGGCTATTTTCATCACTGAAAAATAGCGTGTTAAAAAACTAAAATATTTATATGTTATTAATACTATGGATAATACCAAGATATTTCAAAATAAATAATTGATTATAAATTTTTGGTTATAAATCTACATGAACAAAATAGTAAAACAAAAACATTTCTTCTAGAAAATAATTATACATTTTTAAATTGTTGAATAATTCGACTTAAATTAATTTTTTTAGGAAAAATATAGTAAAGCCGTTTTTTCAATAGCCGAATAACCTTGACATTTTACATTTTTAGGTCCTCATTTTCAGCAGCCGTTTTCAAATCGATGACATTAATTGACGAATTAAATTTTTACGCAAAATCATTTTGGCATTAAAAACCGATAATATATTTATAAATATATTACAAATATCTGGTCATTAGCTGTACGTTTTCTGTTTAAATATATCATATTGAATAGAATATTAAATAAATGTGGCCAGTTATTCGATTATTTAAAAAACGGCCCTTTAAGGTATGTTTGTAGCATATAATTGGAATTAGGTGCAATCTTGTATGCCTATATGAACATGAAATACTAATATACAGACTGTCCCAGAACTTAACATCAAAAATAAAATGGGGTATTGGTATTAACCATAATAAACGAATTGTCTTAAAAAAAAATCTGACGTTAGTTGGAAATTATCTAATTTTGGCCAGTTATTAATATGAGCTTTTAAGTGCAAACTTGAGCTTTGGTGTAATTATGACAATTTTCCGTTGCTTGCGCCGGCAAGTCGTATCGGGTTTTGCAGTAAAATATTACGAAAAAAATTGAAAAAACTTTATCAACATTTGATGCATATCGGTGCCGCGGTCCAAAAGACTAAACCACCAATTCCATTCCCCTCTAAAAATGGAAAAAATGGAAAGAATTCACAACCAACCCGAGTGTCCTTCGGACTTCTTCGACCCAATATCGGAGCACTACTACTCCCAAGCCAACTCTTTCGAACCATGACCAAGTGGCAACATCGGGGACGTCCACAAATACAAAACCGAGGAAAAAATAAAACTCTTCATCGCCAATATACCACGAGAACACACCGAAAAAGGCCTGAGGAACATCTTCCAAAGTTTCGGTGAAGTTCTGGAGGCTTGTATAAAAACCAACAAAAATTCCAGATTTGGTTTTGTTGTTTACGATCACCTGTACACTGCAGCTGCTCTTATACATGGTCTACATTTAAAAAAATCTTTTGACATGGCAGTACAATTTTTTGACCAGAACAAGCATGCAAAACCAGTTGACGATGAACCAATTTCTGTATTACCGCCAAAAGTACCTGAACGCAATTTACTATCAATTGTCTTCAATCATAGATCAGCTTTTATGAAGTCCAAGTTTTACCAAAATGAACCAAACTCTTATAATAAATTTATTACCAAGTTGGCCAAGGAGTTGAAGCCCAAGAATTTGAGTAAAAATGTTTTGGAGCACCAGAAAAATATTTCGGAGTTGATGGATGATGAGATTTTGCAACCTTTTGAGTTTAATGGTTTGGAAAAGTATAATGAATGTCAAAATTGTCAAAATTCAGGGATTTATAAGAAGTTGGAGGTTTGTTTGCATTTTTGTTCTTTGCAATGTTATGAAGAAAAATTGAAGGAGGAAAAATAGATTCAAAAAATAATACTAGTGCCATA